CGACACAACTTATTAAATGACAACCTTTTGTTTGTAATGGAAAGCACCGCCATGTTTCGGTTGGCAAACAAAATCTAACTGCTTCCCGAGTGCTGATGATAGCATGCATTTTGCTGATCAAAATATTAACATAGATCCTATCAAATCCCAGAAACACTTAAAAAATCCAGATTGATATGGGAAAAGTAAATCATTTCTTCATTTTAGCCTATAGTTTTTTTTTTATTGGTTGATTTCTAACTTCTAAGTTTTTAGGACTTCTATAATGTAGTTTGACGGAGCATACGGCTGCAAGAAGGGCACCGTATCAGACCATTCTCATTGCAAATGTTACAGCTTCGAAAACCAGATTTTTGCGAGTAGATCTTGTGGCTTCCGTCGCAGCGTGCGCAGAGGACGAACCCCAGTCCATCGCACAGATCACAGACAATTGGTCCCAGTAATGGCAACCCAGCAACCAGCTTGTACAGATCCCCACTCTCATGGAGCCGTTTGATCTCCTCGGCCCCGCCGACGAATCTACCGCCGATGAAAACTTTTGGTAATGTCAGGTTTTTCTGCCCTACGATCCCCACCAACTCGTCCAAGAACATAGCGTCCAGAGACAGGTCTCGTTCGTCGGTTGGAACTCGCAGCCCTCGGAGGATTGATCTGACAGTCTGGCAGTCCTGGAAGGTCTTGCGGACGACGCGGAGGCTGGTGAAGTAGACGATGATGCGGTGCTCGGCATTAGGGATGACGACGGGAGGGAGTAGAGATACGGCCGAATGGCGGTGGCCCCACGACCAGTGGTTCCCCCACACAGAGAGTTTGACTCGGTGGAAAATGGAGGGACTCCTTGGCGATCCTGGTTGGGGTATGGTTTCTTCTCTGACGATGTCGTGGATGTCTTTGAGTGAACTGAAGGAGAAACGCGGCGCCGACCCTTGTGTGGTTTTGCCGCAGCTCCCTGGTTTCAACGACCTTATCCACTGAGGCATATCTTCGACAGAGTGTGGGAAGGAGGAGATGGAGGATGGACTTTGAAGTTTAGAAGAAGCGATGGCAGTGCTTGTTGCAGTAACTTATAAATAGGTTAATGAAAATGGGGGTTATGGGCTAATTGCAGAACTGATTTTTATGGAAAGTGGAAAGTGGAAACCTCGGAGAAAATGTGAGGCGATGAATCAGCGGCTAAATTAC